AAAAAAAAAAAAAAAAGAAGAAAAAAAAGAGGGGGTTCTCTTGGTGATTTTCAGGGGTTCTTTTTGGTCCATTTTTGAACTTCTCCTGGGTTTTGGAAGCGGTAGAGGGGAGAGAAAGAGCAGCGGATCCCAACCGGATTCCGGTGACACTTCGGTCTCCCTTAGCTAGGTAACTTCCGTATCCGAACACGTAAGGGGCGCCTTCGGGTTTTTGCCTCCGGGACTCCTCCAAAACGGTGTACCCGGAAGCATGACGACCTACAAAGCGCCTCTTACGTGCCTGTTTGTTCAGTGTAAATATTTGGTGATGGATTTTTGGTTGAATATACTATCCACTTTAATCTTGAATGTACATGCTCAGTTTTAGTTTATGTTGGTGCATTTTGAATGCATTTAGGCTCCATGAGGTTCTGGTTTTGGTATTTGATTTTCTCGATTTTCTTTTTTTGCAATTTCTTTGGATTTTTAACTTTGGCCGGAATCTGGAAATTCCCTTGGAATTTTTAGACCGGGAGAATTTCCAGACCCGCCTGTCCCTGGAAATCACATGGAAAACGGGCCAAAAAAGCAAAAAGGGGAAAACGGGCTAGCCCTTAGTACTCCTTTATTTTTTAATGGGTTATTCCAAAAAGGGTCCTAAAATGGATATGGGCTGCCCCAATTTCTAAAAATAAGAATACTTCAAATAAAAGAGGCTAAACCCATCATATCAACCCATTGGGTCTAATAGTTGATCACTAAGCCTAACAGCTTGGATGTAAATGGTTGGTAGTTCTACTCCCATCAATTGCTTAAAAAAATTCCCTCTTCCTCCAAAATTCCTCATGTTAAGAAAAAAAAAAAAAGGCTAAACCCACACCCACAAAACGAAATCTAACTCCCAATTTTGTTTAACTAAATTTAATTAATTCTAATTATTTTTTGAACAGTAGTAAAATGGTACAGTAATAAGACATCACAACTCCAAAATTGGTTGGTTTGGAGTTACATGGAATCTCATATGTACTACCTAACTCATGCACACATGAATGATATAATAACAAATAAATTATTAATATAGAGAGGGAAAGAAATAGGAATGGATTGTAGAGAGAATATAATGATAGAATGTAAGGGGAAGCTAAGGTGTAATATTTCAAGAAAAATAATGATAGAAGTGGAGTAAAACTGTAAAAGCAAGTGAAAAAGTAGTAGAAAAATAATACTAAGAAGTTGTATTTTTTTGATGTTTTGGTATAAAAATTTTCTAATAAAAATATATTGTTGAAGTAAAAAGAATGGTCAAATAAGATATATAATAATAGGTCTAAGAAAGAATGAGAGAGATGAGAGTATGATGAAACAAAGAATAATGTGTAGGGTAAAGAATTAAATATAATGATATAAAATTTGAGAGGAAAGTTGAGAGATGGAGACTCAACAAAAATTAATGAAAGGTCAACTAAGGGTAAGTGAAAAATTAAGTGCCAAGAGAATAATACTAATAAGTCGTGTTTTTTGTTTTGATTTGAAAACATTTCCAATTCTATACCTGGGAGAGAGGAAGAAAAAAAAAAAGAGGAATAAAATGATAGTAAGATACATATGCATTGACTAATTAAGAAAGAATAATATAGGGGGGAGGATAAGGGATATAAAATTGAGAGATTTGTACAATAGTTGAGAGATCAAATTTGGGGTGTAACTTTTAGTACTTTTGTGAATTTGATGATTTTTTTTTAATGAACCATAGCTATGGTTTTTGAAAATTTATAGGTACAGGTTATTGTTATATCTATAATTGATCTTAATTGTAGGTACACGTTTTTCTTTTATACCTACACTAAGCCATTTTTATAGATAAAGACATTTTTTCCTTCAATTAATATAAATATGTAGGTATATTTAGACCATATACATACAAATTAGTAAATTGTAGGCATAGATACCTATACCTATATAATTGTCAATGTAGGTAAAAATAGTGTAGGTATATGGCAGATTTGCTATAGCGGATAAAGAATAATAAAAAAAATTACTAATATTGAGAAGGATTTACGAAGAAATACAAACATGAAGATATGCGAAAAAGTAATGAAAACCCTAAAATAATGTGAAAAAAAATTAGTTTAAGAAAGGGAAATGAAGAGAGGTACATGTACTAAGTTAAGTCAAAATTAAAATACATAATAATAACGTAACTGTATGATGATAAAAGGAACTAGAGAATTGAAATGTGCTTCATTGAGAGATATATATAGAGATGCGATCTTAGTGTGAGAAATTGAAAAGAATATCGCATGTGAATATCACCATTATGACAAGAGAGAGAATGAATAACATCCAACAACTTACTAATATAAAAAGAAAGAATAGATAGATATGATTGACAAATTTTTATAATATATTAATATAGTAA